CACACTCTGTCCGTACTCACAAAAATCTGAGGTATTTTGGTGAGGAAAAAAAACTTGGTAGCAGTGAGGTAAAGAAGTTCGATAAGGAACAGAATATCGGATTCATTTACTTCAGTTCATGAAATGTATTGACTCAATTCATAAGTTACATGCATTACGAAAAACAGCGAAAGCCGTTTTCCGCAATGCGTATAACTTATGAGAAGGCCATCGCAAAGAAGAAGATGTGTATAACCTATGAAAAGCAGCCAAGAAAAGAAAGGTATATTCTGCTTTGAAAAGCAGACACACTGTAGATGTGCTGTGAGGCTGGTCTTGGAGCAGAAGAACTGGTGGTATAGTGGATAGCACATCGCAACCGATGGAAAGAGAAATAGCTCGATTCCCTACCGATCCGAAACCATTTTCGAAAAGGGATTCCGTTCACAACAAACATTTACCCGTTTCTCAATTGAAGCAGTAGCATGGGATTTTTAGTTTGTTCTTTACAATTTAGGAACACGACTTCCAGTTCATTTCGATATTTTGATTACTGCAGTCACAGTAGGACCGCTGGCTCAAGAAAAGGGCTGTAATTAAAAGTTTATTGGCTTAAAAAACAGTCTATCAGTCTATCCAATCGTCAAAAAAGTTGAAAAGTGTCGACTACAGAGCAAAATTATTGAAAAAGCAGTACACTAAACTAAGTTAAATGGCAGCACAGTAGCTGCGCGAAACAAAATGTGACGTATGCGTTCAGATTACAGTATCTAAAATACAGATGCTCTGTAATATGGTTATTAAAAAGTTAACGCTTATCACACATGCCTCTTTAGATACCGATTTCAAACTGCATGTGGATCCAGAATTTGGTAATTGCTACACGTTCAACTGGGATGTAAACAAGAATTACACAAGCAGTAAAGCTGGCCCAATGTACGGTAAGTCCTGTTGGTTCTGTGCAGTGTACATCAACCAAGGGTTCAAATCAATAATACTGGAAAGTTACAATAGGAAAGAATGGAAAAAGAGCAAAAAAGGAAAAGTAAACTAGTACTGGCGTATGCTAAAATATCCACCACTCTAGTTCTAAGTACTTTTTGGAGGAGAAATTCATCAGCAGTTTTGGCAGCAAATGATTGCTGTTGGCATCTGCTATTGCTGAGGTTACTTTTGTGTGCTTCTGTCTCTCACTGGAAGTAAATACGAAGGGATCGTTAACTTTTGAATTTTATTAATGAAAATTGGCAAACCATGAACCTTCCCGCTGCGATGCCGAAATAAAACATACAGACTAGTGGACCAGAAATTCGTTCTCCTAACTAATACCATTGTAAATGTATACATTCGTGCATGCATTTATGTACAGAACTAGCTGTAGTTTTGTTTCGCGTTTACCTTTCAGTCATTTTTTTTTGTCGTACACTCAAGGAATTGATAAATTCTTATTTCCGCTTCACCCTTCAATACTCTAGTGATACTTTCCACTTCCCAAGTGGTCACTTTATCTTGCAGGAATACGTGTACTGTTGTTCGTCAACACATCCGACTATATGGCAACATCTGAAGCGGCTGGTGTTCGTCTGGCGATACATAGCCCAACAGATTTTCCATTTCCAGATACATTTGGCTACAGTGCCCCTGTTGGTTTCGCATCCTCGTTTGGTCTTAAAAAGGTGAGTCAGAAGGCTATTTCAGAATACATCATGACTGTCATTTAGGCATCAAACTTATTGGCTTCATAGTTCAATTAAAAGATTATCAAAATTTCCAAAAATGCATTTTTCTAAAGTCTTTGTAAAGTGTTTTTTAAAAAACAGCTACAGTTAAGCCACTGGCATCATTACCCTGAAAGATAGAATAACATGCGTAAAATATATTGCAAAAATTTAACAAATTCCTACGTTTGAACTGTTTCAGCACGTAGTTCAGCGGCTATCGGCACCCTATGGCGATTGTCAGCGCGAGAAAAAAATGAATTCAAGCGTCTACATTTATGGTGACTACGATTACAATCCAGAAGTAAGCTAAAATCAGGGATAACGGAAAAATTAGATGAAAGGGCTGCAGTGATCAAATGCAAGACGAAAATAAAGTAAATATAACTAGAGGGCTCATACAGGGGGGTTTTTTTTTTCAAAAGATCCTCAGTGCAGGATATTTCCTGCAGAAAGAACCATGGCTTTGAAATAATGACGAAATTATTAAAACCATTTAAGCGATCCGTTTGAGTATCCGTTGCTGCAATGTTCTAATATTTATAACGCAGCTGTGCCAGGCTATTTAATACAAAATTGCACTTGCCATAATAATAAAGTTGAAACACGTAATTAACTACAACAAAATTTGTCCTTTCACTATTGAGCCCAGCAAAAAATTTATTTTTTTTAGCTTTTTCAAAACCAAAAGTTGACGAAATGGGATGAAGGAGAAGAGGGAAGAAGGATGAGGAGCGGGGCGGAAGAAAGGAAGAAACTGAGAATCGAAAAGTCCCCTGAAATCTCTCATCTTATGCAAGAAATAATTTAGTCCCATATACATGAAAATCGCGGGGG